GATAAGAATTGCATAGCATTAAGTAAAGGATTAAATAAGCTATTAATGTAAAGCACTGATAACCATACCTCACATATGGAAATGTTCAGTAAGTTACTATTTGTTTCATTGCATTTCACACTATAATATCCAGTCTGATTCTGCAATCCTAAAATTCCAGGCTTTCAAATGTAAACTCAAACTTTAAAGCAATCTAGATAGGCTTGCTTTAATGCAGTTTAGAGTTAAAAAAAAAAAAAGTTATCCCCAAACAGACAGGCAAAGGGGAGATTTTCCTTTCTCAGCCTCTCCAGATGTTATAAAATTATAATCCGGCACCTAAAAGAAAAACTTGTGTGATTACTCACATAAGAGTAAAATGTATTCATATGCTTGCTAATACCTGTTTCTGCTTTTAAATGGTACTCTCCTGTTTGTTCTGTTTGCAAAGGAAATTCTATTATAACTTCAGAGAATTTACTGACAACATCAAGAGTATGTTTAGGCTATTTTACAAAGTCATTGCTAGCTCCTCAATGGTGGAAAAACAGTTTGCAGTGTTCCTTATTCTGAAGAAAAAAGTCATAGGTGTTTCTGTAAAGCACTAGGATAGTGCTGTAGAGTTACTGTACTTGAAAATGTTTTCATTGCCATCATTTGAGATTGGTTGATTCATGGGTATAAATACAATTAGGAAGATAATTTTAGTTTAGCTCAAGCCCCATCATCCAGACTCCTGCCTTTGTCCTATTGGTTATCATCAATTATGGAATTAACTTTCCCTTTAGAAAACAGGTACCTGTTTAACCAGCAGGAAATTAACCTGTAACTTAAACAACATTCATTGAGAAATTTGAAAGGAAAATATGTTCATTTCATTTTTTTTAACAGTTTTGCTCTATTGCACATGCTGGAGTGGCTCATTGCAACCTCTGCCTCCCGGTTTCAAGTGACTCTCATGCCTCAGCTTCCAGAGTAGCTTGGACTACAGGCACGCGCCACAACGTCCAGATGATTTTTGTGTTTTTGGTAGAGATGGGGTTTCACCATGTTGTCCAGGCTACTTTTGAATTCCTGACCTCAAGTGATCCACCCACCTTGGCCTCCCAAAGTGCTGGAATTATGGGTGTAAGCCACTGCACCCAGCCAATTTCTTAATGAAGCTAGAATTTCGGATGATGTACTACTTTGATATTCAAAGTACAATCTACATACCAGGAATCAGCATTGCCCAGGAAAAACGCAGAATGCCAGCCCCCATCCCACACCTCTGATTCAGAATTTGCATTTTAATAAGATCCCAGAGTGATTCAGGTACATGTGAAAGATTTGAGAAGCACTGACCTAGAGAAATGCGTGTGAAGACTGGCAATCTGACAAGCGGTTACTCTTTTGGGTCACCACAGTGATAGTAATGAGATATAACTGAAGTATGTACCAGAAACTTCCAGAGTCTAATATTAAAATCACCACCACCACAACAGAAACAGTGAATTCTAAGTGGATATTTGGTAAATTAAATTTGTTTTTCCTTAAGCATTATTTATAAAATTGGCCCATTTTCGTTTCTGTCATCGTTGTTCACTGTAATCTCTGTAAGAGCATTTACTGTTATACTCATTCATGCATGAAGGAAGGAAAGACAATGAATCCATGATAGCTATCTCATATTGGAAACAACTTGGATTGGCTCCTATGTTTAGTTAGGACTCATTCAATGTAAGGGTTTCTGAGGGTGGCTATTTGGACCATCGTGTCTTCAGATCAGGTACAGAAAGTTGCCTGGTTGGAGCTCCTATGTTAATCAGGATCCTCCTCTTGAATAAGAAGGAACAGCTAGAAGCTGGAATTTGAAATACAAGACTTCAACTAGTTGTTTGCAGGTAGTTAATATCACGTTTCCCCAAACTACTATTCAAAGAGAAAACCTGCCCACTACTGTGTCTTCCTGGCTTTATAGTAGCAGATGTTAGTGTTATGTTAAGGACAGAGCTCTTGTCTCCGTTTACTCCAACTGCTTTCTGTTCATCTTTAGTCGTGTGTGTGTGTGTGTGTGTGTGTGTGTGTGTGTGTGTGTGTGTGTCTATGGCTTGGCAGAAACTTAAAAGACAAGGTTTGATGGGTATGATATATAAATGGAAATCATGGTGATTTTTTAAGATGACAGCTTAGAAAATGGTAACAGTATGTAGTTGCTATCACATGAGCCATGTATCCCATGATGCAAGAACAGTCCTTTCTAATTTAATCAGTAATATTATTGTCTGAAAATTCTTGTTCTCAAGTAGATACTTTTTTTCTGCATCAGAATTATTATTCACAATTTTTGCATTCCCTTGCTTAGAACCAATGATTCTTGATTGTAGAGATTCTTTGCTATATAAATCTGCTTTTTTCCTTTTAAGAAAACACTTAATTTTTCCCAAATTAAGAAACCAGAAAATGTTCTTAATGTGATTTAGTCTTTAAAGCAGACAATGTATAAACCAAACAGGAATTATATTTTATTTGGGAAGCAAACAAAAATGAACAGAACCTAATTCTCAAATCCACTAATTAATGCACAATTATGTCATTTTCCCAGCCAGGGAATGGGTCATGATGATAATGGATGAAAACATAAATATGAACAATGTTTTAGTAATGGATTCAACTTGCATTTTCTTAAAAACTATTTTTATGATACTCTTGTCCATTCTCTTTATTATATTCTTGTGATTTAATGTAGATGAAAATTTTCTATTAAATAACTCAAAAGTTATTGCCTATCAGGGTACTGAAACATGCTTAATACAAAAAGCAATAAGCAATAAGTCTTATTTTCCATGGACTTCCAAACCTATTTATATTATATAAAATCACAGCATATAATAAACAATTTTCTTATGGGGGTGTGGGGCTAACCATCTGAATTGTGTTTAGACAGAGCTCTCAAGTCTAAATACATTTCTCTTTATTTCCATTTTTCTTGGAGTTATTTCCAATCTATTTATTTCAATGCTTTGTCATAGATGAGAGAAGATAAAATAAACTCTGGGGTCTGTCGGCAGTGCTCATTAAAAGGAGAAACAAGAAAGAACAAGTAAATCAAGGTTTATTATTTTTCAGCATTGAGTGGTTTCTATTTTCTAATCATGTCGCATTTTCTAATCATGTCGCTAACATTGCTGAGGAAAGCTCATGGGAATTGTAGTAGAATATGCATTTTCGAAGGCTTACTGGTTGGGTAAATATTTTTTAAAAATCAAGGGCGTATACACATGTTGCCATGAGTAAACAGACTGTATTACTAAATCATTAGGAAGAAATGTCCAGTGGTGTTTCAATTAAAGTCAATCCTTGTTCTCAGCTTATGCATAAATTCAGCTGAACAACTGATTATACAGAACTTTTTTGTTATGGTGGTTGTTGATTACAGCAACTTCCCTATTTAATTAAGTTTAACAAAAACTGAAAAAGTGTCTGTTAATATGGTCAACAGAATTACATATTTTTTAAAATTTTGAAATGCATAGCACTCTACACGTCAAGGTAGACCAAAGGCTGCATTTGCTTTTTGAGCTTTTTAAATCTCCTATTTTATAAAGTATATGTGGATGCTTACAAGATACCAAAGTAAATGATTGAAAAGGAAAATATTATCATTATTAATCTACATAATACGACTTGTTAAACTAATTCATTGTCTAATTTGTCCAGTTGCATTTGTGTAGATTAGGCACAATTTGTGTATGTGCAGATATTATTACATTCCTCAGAGTGTTTGTAAATATTGTGTTTTGGGTTACTTTGCGGTATTAACATGTATGTAAACAGAATATAATAAGTCAGTTTGCCAAATGAGAAAATATTCATTGTGCATTACGTTTTTAAAATTGAGCTTCTTTTTCCAGCACGACAATCAGAGACATTTAAAAATAGTATTTCAAAAAAAATAATATTTAAAGTATTATTTGAAGCAGGAGCAGCTACAACTACAAAGCACAGAAATTAGTCACACCTTTTATTCTATTCCTATTTAATAAGCTATAGATATATTTATTTCTTCCCTAACATAACCTAAAAAGGAAAAGAAAAAATTCTTAAACCATAGTATTTTAAAATAAAACGACACAGTAGGAATGAAATGAAAGACAATTCAATAGACTTTATAGCTATAAAGTGATAAAATCTCTAAAGGTTTTACTCTTTAAATTATTCAGAATGTCTAAATTTCTGCTGCCATAATATTTTTTCACAAGTGGAATAAAAATGGCATTTTGCTCACGTAGATCTAGTTGTCCCCAGGGTGGTTGATTCTAGAAAAGCAACAGGCTTTTCCCCCTGTCTTACAAGAAGCAACAGTTAGAAACTCTAAGTAGCAAACTGCTACCCACAGTGGACGCAAACAGCCGACAGGAAAGTGGCAGCTATTTCAGTTGATTTTGCAACAGCTTCCAAAAAGAGAGGGACAATATAAATGAAAGAAGACCCCTTGGAAATGAAAGGACTGTGCTATGTTACTGTCGCCCCCTCTCCCTTCCAACGTCCCTTAAATTATCAAGGTTTTTAGACATGCGTAGATTTCTAGAGTAAAGTGAAGCAATATAACTTGACCCATTTGTTTCAAGTTAAATTTGCAAGATGCAGCAAGACAAATTCATAACCTCCCACGAGGGAACAAGACAAGCCTACCCAGGCTCGGGCACTTTTCCTATTAGCAAGCCTGGGCTGTCGTCTCAGCCTGTTGCTCCTGCCACACGGTGTGCCTGAACCCGGAGGGAGGGACGCTTTGAAACCTCGAGTGTGCGCCGGGTCGCGGGGCCTCGGTGCATCCGGGCTTGCCGGCTGCGAGGGCCACGGGGATCGCTTGGGGAGGTGATGGCTGCCGACCACCGGTCGGGGGACCCCAGTGCAGGCCGCCCGGCTGCCGGCAGATGGTGCCCTCCTCATCCGAACACGCAGGGAAACCCAGCTAAAGTACCGCTCAGACTCCGCCCCAGGCGATCTACGGCGCAACAGTCACCCGTTCTTCCCAAAATAGTGCCGAGCACGTTTCCCCTGGAACACCGCAGTAGCCCGTGTGTGTCGAAATTACAAACCAGGGGTGACCGCGTGTGTGTGCCGGAGTGGGGAGCGCGTGCGGAGTGGGACCCCCGGGGCCAGGGGCGAGGTGACGGCCAGGGAAACGCAGAGGGCACAGGGACCGGTCATTTCGCTTCTGCGTAAGCCGGACCGCCGGGCCCGTCGGGAGGCCACTCACCATATTCACTTCGGAGACCATGTCTATGCTGGCGACATCGATCCGCATCCCGACGTCCACCGGGGGGCCTGCCGGGGAGGTGGGCCACATTAGGGACAGATTCTCTGAGTGACAGCGGGCTGGGGAGGAGAAGGGGGCTTCCCAGCCCTTACTCCATTCGGAACCGGGTCCCTCCCTACTCGCCCCACCACCCCTTTCAGGGGACAGCCTGGGAAAACAGGTGTGGGCACACGCGTGATGCAGTGACTATGCAGAGGGTGTGTCGGCCCGGGAAAGGTCGCCTCCGCCTGAGGATCCATCCACCTGAGCCTGGGGTCCCGGTGTGTGTGTGTGTGTGTGTGAGTGTGTGTGTGTGTGTGTGTGTGTGTGTGTGTGTGTGTGTGTGGTGTGTCCAGGGCACAGTGCACGCTTACGAAAATGACATGTTTTTTTTTTTTTTCTTTTTTGACATTTATCTTTGACAGAAAAGGAGAACTAGGGATGGGTTACAGGTTGAAAAAGATGAAGCGTTACCTCCAAAGTCCGGCCGCAAGCGAATGTCATATCCTTTGAGCAATCTGTCCACTGTCTCTTTCACGTATGACATGTTGCTGGGTTCATTGGCGCTGAAGGGAAGAAGTAAGGACCGTATGCAAAATGAGCACAGACCGTGAGCACATATAAAAGATACAGGCACACCTACCCCCAAATAACAAGATACATGATCCAGCAGGCACGTAAAAAGAAACATACCAAGAAAAAAGAGAAAGATTAAACAGCAGCTCACCTGTGTGCACAACAGACCATTGTAATCATCACAGGGAAAGAAAGAAGCCCCAAACTCTCTCGATTTTGTACTGTCCACATTACTAACTCTGATTAGAGAATTGTCTTTTCTGCGAAGATTCAAGGAATGCAACTTAGTCGGCTGCTGGGCAGTAATTCCCGAATGGACCTGCGCATGCGCAGAGGGCGCTCGCTACAAAAGACACCTTGTGCCTTGCAAACAATATTCCTAGTGGAACAGGCAACAGATTTCAATCCTTCTAAAGTTCCTTTTTGGGGTGCTCCGTGTCCTCCGGGCAGTCAGAGACAATCTGCTGTTTTCACACAGGGAATCCTACGAGCAAGTGTAAGCGGAGTTTCCTTCATGCACTGGAGGTTGCTATATTGATTTCCTTTCAGCCCCCAACCTGATTTTGTTTTTTTACTGGGCTCTCAGTGATTTGGCTAAGGCTGCCTGTGATTGGGATCTTCCGTTGACAGTCAGGGAGGTCCCAGAACCGGGATTCTGGAGGCGGATCTCTTGTTCTCTGTTTGCCTGTGGCGGTACCCGGCGGATGTGGTCAGCAGGGGTTGAGGGTGGGGGTGACTGGGAGCTGGGGAGAGTGGAGGGTGAGGGAGCCAGAGTGTTACGAAAGGTACAGAGGAAACTCAGGACGTATTTGAGAACTCCAAAGATCAGGTGCCCTTGAGAGGCATCCTAGGACATCTGGCTTGGTGTAGACTTCTGTAGGAGGCGGAGTAGGAGAGGCACGCCAACTTTTCTTCCACCCCACTTTTCTTCCCTCCACTTGTAGTTTCTCTACCAGGTTGGGAAATGAGGGAAACAAAGGATGGGGCAGCAGTTCTTGGCAGGCAATCTTTTTTTCTGGGGCCATCCGCTGCAAGCCTCACTTTTTCTTCCAGGTTTTAGTAAGAAAAATCTCTTTCTTAAATTGACAGCATACGAGCTGGTATTTGTGACCCCTAACAGAACCCTGAAACATCCAGACACTCTAACCTCTGTTTGCCAGTAGGTTGGGATTCTGCAGAAGCAAGCATTTTAAATAAAATCAAATATAGTGACTTCGATTATACAAATGTCATTGAGCACATGTTAAGCAGAAGGCCCTGGGCCAGGTGTTTATTCATTTGTTAAATAGCACATGTTAAATCTATGTTGTAGGCATTCTGGGACTTATAACTGCTTCAAAAAGGGTTCCTGAGCTAGAAAAATTCACATCTAATGAGAGGGATAGACACAAGTGTAAGGAATTCAGTGTATCTCTAGAGAGTTTATGTAGTGAGTGACAGGAGTGTTGGTTATTCTACCAGGGAGACGTTTCCAGAGGAGGAGTAATTTGAAGGAGGAGAAAGCTTTTTGCCAGAGCAGGAAGGATGGGGCATTCCAGAAAGAGGGACACCATGTGCCAAATCCACAGTCTACTTAGATAACTAAACCCAGAAATGACTGGTCAGATTACAAAGGGAGGGAGAGAAGGTAGGTGATGAGAGTGCAAAGGGAAGTTGAGGTCACATTACAAAAACATTACATACTCTGCATTTAGGCTTCTGGCAATCAGTGAAATGTCTCAGTAAGGATGGTGAGGGTCGGATTTAGGCTTTAGAACTCACTGGTAAAATAATTATAGCAACAATCAACATATATCACTTGCTGTTTAGGTGGCAGGTATTGTGCACATTACATAGATTACCCCATTTAAACCTTAGAACAGCCCAAAAGGGCTATATATGATTATTATTCCCATTTTATAGATAAGGATACTAAGACTAAATTAACTAGTTTAATATCAAACAGCTAATACATGGTAGAATCTGCATTTCAATGAATATTCTATAGATTTAACTACCCCTGTATGTTGTGAAGCATGGACTCAAAGAGGAAGAACCAGATAACGAAAAAAGAAGGAAAAGGATTATTAAAATATCCCAGGTAAAAGAAACTAAAGTCAGAAAGTGTTTAGCATAAAGAGGAGGTGATAGACTAGCTCAAGTTTTCAGAAATATAATAGAGAAATTGAACAGTTGGACGAGTCAGGATCTGGGGACATTTGGAGGGTGCCTAAAAATTGTACAACCATTTACACATGTATAGAGCTTGACATTCTACAAATACATTAATTTTATTTTATAATTTGAGCCTCACAGAACCTTAAATACTGGGGCCATTCCTTATGGGAAAGAATGCTAACTACTAATTAGATTCCTTAATTTTCTTAAAAGGATATCAACTCTACCTTGTATAACTTATACATATCTGCTTTCATGGGTTAAAGAGAGGCTTATTTATGTTTTAGATCCTTGCTGAAGCATGGATCCCTTTGTGCTGCATGATTCTATGCAAAAGTCACACTGTAGAAAGCAGGATACATGAAGCTTTACTTCATTCATTTCCTCACTTGTTTATTCCCCAAATATGTATTGAACACTTACTAGGTTCCAGATATTAGGCAAAAAGCTGGTGATACAACAGTGGACAATACAGTGTCCCTTTTCACATAGAATTTGTTGATTTTTACAATCTGTTCATGGTTGCAAATTAGCCTTGCTACTCAAATTCAATTAATAAAAAGCATTCCACCAAGTATTTGTTTCATATAGTTTTTATTGGGATATATGTTTTCCATTTGCTCATAAACCCCAATAATTATTTTTGAATAACAACTAGGATTTTATTCAGCAGGGCCTGCTGAAGAGCCAAGATTTTATTCTTGAATTAAGAAAGACTATCTGCAACTTTGTAGACTTGAATCCTATTGTTTAGCGTGCCCCAGTGAATCAATTCCACTGAATTTTGCTTTGAAATTATGTTTTACATTTACCTGAAAGAACAGTAAAAGTCATAAGATATTCATTATCACATTCATTTGTTACTGAGATGCTATAGAAGGTGAAGCCCACTCTATCACTTGGTATCTTATATACAAGAACTGTTGAGAGGATATTTTTCTCAGACCTCAGTACTCTGAAAATTGTCTTATTGTTTGAATAGCTTATCTTATGAACAATAGAAACCATAAAATTAATTAAATTCTCTACTTACTTTGGCTACTGAAGATGTCAGACTCTTGTGTACAACTCAGTTTTAGTCATTTTGTAAGATAAGAATGACCTGCATTTTGATATATTACAATTTCTCTACAACGCCTTCAATTTCTAAGTTTATTTTTTCTTTGTCACAGTTTACTAATTTAAAAACAGATATGTTACACTGAATATATATAGTTTGTAAGCTGTCTTGAATAACTTTGGAACTAAATGGGAACTAAATTATTTCAAAATTATTAAAAACATAAATAATTGAACTTAAAAACATTTCTCAATCTAGATGCATTGTGGGAAATTTTATGGCTTAAATAAGCCAAAACATTCTTTCTCTGTGAAGTTGATTGTTTTTTCCTCAAGTCAGTCCTCTTACTTAAGACTTTTCTTCCTTCAAAGCTCAATTTAAATTTCTTTTAATATATATATGATACAATCATATATATTAAATGTAATATATCATATATATATAAATAAAATTAAATATATACCATAAAGCATAAATAAATATATATCTATTTGTTAAAGCTACCCCTTGAAAGCCACCGGTAATTCCTACTCCTATTATCATCTGCTGTTTACTCTTATGAGAGAAATAGGGGAAGTGTAAAAGTTAACTTCTAACTAGGTTGGAAGTGTCTCAGGGTCAAGAACCTACACATATTCTTAGTATTTCCCTACACAGCAGTTAGCAAACAAGAAAACATAATAGAAAAATTATTCCATTACAATAACAAAAATAAATTCTAATGTACCTAGGAATAACTGGGGAAAAATATGCACAAGAACTTCATAGTGAAATATACAATTTTATTTAAACACACAAAATATGACTTAGATAAATGGAAAATGTATCATATGGGTAGGTGGGAGGACTCAACATTGTAAGGATGTCAAATCTATCCAATGTAAGAAATATAACCAATTTGAATCAAAATTCCTACATTCTAAATGGAAATGAAGAAACTAATCCTAAATTTAAATACAAGAATGAGGGGTAAATAAAAGCCAAGAAAACTTGGAAGAAGAAAAAAAGAGAAGGGATATGGGGGCATATGCCTTTGAGATATCAAGACATTATTGAGCTATATAGAAATTGAATCAGTTTGTCTTTGGCATGGAATTCATGTAGGGATAAAAAGCAAAATAGTACAAGCAAATAAAGAGCACAGAAATAATTCTCTATTTTAGGAAAAGTAGGAAAAGATGAACTATTCTATAAATGCTGTGAGATAATTTATTATCTATAAGGGAAAACAGTAGATTTTTACATCATTACCTACATGAAAACATATTACAGGTAGATTGTAATTTTAATATAAAAACAAAAACTTTCTTTCTTTTTTTTTTTTTTTTGAGTCGGAGTTTCGCTCTTGTTACCCAGGCTGGAGTGCAATGGTGCAATCTTGGCTCACCGCAACATCCGCCTCCTGGGTTCAGGCAATTCTCCTGCCTCAGCCTCCTGAGTAGCTGGGATTACAGGCACGCGCCACCATGCCCAGCTAATTTTTTGTATTTTTAGTAGAGACGGGGTTTCACCATGTTGACCAGGATGGTCTCGATCTCTTGACCTCGCGATCCACCCGCCTCGGCCTCCCAAAGTGCTGGGATTACAGGCGTGAGACACCGAACAAAAGCTTTCAAAACTTTAAACTATATAGGAGAATATCTTTATGACTGTGATGAAAGGAAAGACCTAAAGATGAACAAAAATATAAATGATAAAAACTATTATAGCAATAACTATGTTAAAATGTAACCTTCTTTAAATCCAAAGATTCTTCTGAAAAGTCAAGTTATACATAGAAAGAACATGTTTTCAGCAAATTTAACCATCAAAGGATTTGTATAAAGAAATTACTGGGGAAAAAAACTTCTACAAGTAAATAAGAAAAAAAGATCAAAAGCCACTCTAAATAAGGAATTGCAAATTAAAGCAATTGCACATTATTTTAAATTCATCAGATAAGCAAAACTTTTAATAGTATTAAAAATTGGCTTTTAAAACTCCATATATTTTCAATAGACATATAAATTAATCTGAACACTTTGTGCAGCTCTTTGGA